ATATTGTACGTCTTTTTCTAATGAGACAAAGGATTTAGGTCTCTAAGGTTTATGCCCAGCAGGAAATTCACCAACATGACATCTTTCTGCAAACAGATATGAGCTGCCAAGGGATCAAAATAAAACAGATAAAAATAATGCTAGTGCTGCTATCAACTGTAGTTTGGGCTAAGAAAGGTAATCCTAGCCTTAAGAGTTTGCATTAAAAATGCAAATAAATGAACTGAAAATAAAAAGCATTCTATAGGTTTTTCTTTACAAAATCCCTACCATTTAGACTTTCACAAACATATCCACTTTTAAATGACAATGTTACAAAGTGAGGTATTTTTTACTCAGGGCCCATTGTGCTATCCATGTCTGGGGCTGTGGGAAAGGGCCATAGCCATGGTGGGGCTAACTGGAGTACTACCACACCAGCTCATATGGAATTACAAGAAACCTCCTACATTTAAAAGAGGAAACTTAGAATTTCCAAAAATAATAGGGGAAAGATCTAGGCAGCATAATACCAGAGGTAGAAGGGAAGAGGATTTGGAAGAAATTTCTTGTAAATCTGATATGAGTTATACTGAGACAACATCCTATGTATATACTTCCCTTACGTATTGGCCATTTCCACCTCTCCCATTAGCTGTGCAGTGCACTCCATCAGCCATTTGCCCATCAACTGCTACTCAAGAGTACATGCGTCCCATTGGCTGGGTGCTGGGTCCGCTCCTCTCCCCTGCCCACTGCCAGCCTGGACACTCTTCTCTCACAGAATAAATTGCCAAATGGCTGTTTCTCCTGAAGACGACACTTTACCTGCTTGGCTCCTGTGGGACTAACCTTTCCCTCAGTGGCTGTTGCTAGGCAACCATGCTTGGTTCTGTCAGTAAAAAGGCAAATCACACTTGAGACTGATGTCTTCTTATACAGTTCTACTTACAATCAAAAATGATACACTTAATAAAAGGCAAAAGATTTATGCGATCTGAAGAGAAACCACTTAACAAATGGTTTTGCCACCATGCATAAATGACATCTGCAACAGTTGAATAGATGACCTAATAGTCCTTGAAAGTACAAACCTCTCTTCAGGTTGATGTGGTCACTGGCCCATGGTGCAGAGAAGATTCCAGAAGAAAGCACACAATAGACGGCATGAGCTCAAGAACAGCTGTAGCATGAAGCAAAGGAGCGGCGACAGCACACCTAGGTTGCTTCGCCGTTTCTTAGGGCTTTATCAAGCCGCTTTTCTTTGTGATGGAGCTCAACCCAGCTCTGGCAAGATTCAAAATGACACGAAATCTACAAGCATGTTCCAAGTAGACTTTATTCTGGAAACTCTTCTCTGCACCATGAGCCAGTGTCCACATCATTCTGAAGAGAGATTTGTACTTTCAAGGACTAATAGATCACTATTCAACTGGTGCAGATGTCATTTATACATGGTGGCAAAACCATTTGTTATGTGTATCATTTTTTGTTGTAAGTAGAACTGTATAAGAAGACAGTAGTCTCAAATGTGATTTGTACAGCATGACAGATTATTCTGGTTATTTGTTTGCACAACTGTATTCACTATATTTCCATTTTTGTGTGGTAGTAAAAAGGCAAAGGCAGGAGGCACTTTCTAGGCCTTTGTGGGGAACTCACTGGGGCAAGTCCTAATTAGGGTTGCCAGTTCCAGTGGAGTCTAAGGAAGCCAGAGTTTGGGGAGGAGAGAGGCCTCAGCTGAATAGAATGCCATAGAGCCCACCCTCCAAAGCAGTTATTTTCTCGGGGGGGGGGAGAGATCTGTTGTCTGGAGTTCAGTTGTGATACCCAGTGATCTTCAGGCTCTACCTGGAGGTTGGCTACCGTAGGCATAGCAGTTAGTGCTTCAGAGCAGGGTCTTCTAGACCAAGGTTCTTGCTGTTGAAGTTGAGTGGGTGATTTTGGACCAGTCACAGACTTTCAGCCTAACCTACCTCACAGGATTGTTGTGCAGATCAAAAGGAGAAGAGGAGAATGATGTAAGCTGCTTTGGTCTCCACTGCAGAGAAAGACTGTAGTTTTCTACCTGGGGAACCATTGCTGCCAATCTCCAAGTGAGGGCTGAAGATCACTCAGAATTAAAACTGCTCTCCAGATGGCAAAGATCAGCTCCCCTGGAAAAAAATGGCTGCTTGGCAGGGTGGACTCTGTGTCATTATACCCTGCTGAGGTCGCTTCCCTCCTGCTTCAGTCACCACTGCGGAGAGAAACTAGCTGTCCTAGGTAGAGGCTACAGGGAGGGGGGAAGATATGTAAACCTGAAGTTAGAGGGGCAGATAACAGTACGTTGATGGCTGGCTGGGAAGGAAATAGGGTTGCCACCTCCGAGTTAGGAAATTCCTGGAGATTTGAGGGCTGGAGAGAGTGAGGTTTGAGGAGGGGTGGGACCTCAGACAGATACAAAGCCATTTCCTCCACCCTCCAAACCAGCCATTTCCTCCTGGGGAACCATTTTTGTCAATCGCCAGGGGAGGACTGGAGATCACTCAGAATTACAACTGCTCTTCAGATGGCAGAGATCAATTCCTCTGGAGAAAATGGTAAGCTATGTGTCATTATACCCTGCTGAGGTCACCACAACGAATTGACGCTGAGTGCCCAAGACCAGGGCACCCAACCAGAGCCTCTTTCTAGAGCTCATTGTATTTATTTCCACAACGAGCCTTATTCCTAGTTTTTATATAATGCAGTAACAGTGATATTTGACACCACACAAATTAATATCAGGAGTGCAAAAAAGAGGGCTGCATCAATGCAGTCAAAGGTGAGAAGAAGAAAAAATGACCATACAAATTAATATATCTGTCTGTCTTTCTTTCTGTCTGTCATCCTACATCAGATATTAGTTGGCAATGTCAGAATGCATATGCAGATCATGCTATTATATATCAGAACAGATAGTACTGGATCTAATTAGAGATTTATTTATTTTCATTTATAGTCAATATATGATGAGAAATCCCTTTCCTTGGATACTAAGATTGTCTTACTTGTCTATTTAAGGGACAGGGTAGAGGAAACTGCTGCCTACATGTGTATTACCTCCTACTGGAAGGTGATCAACTGTACCATCTTTAAAAGGGTGGTTTAATCAAATCTGAGATATTCCTTTAATGTCAAAACTGACGCTATGGGGAATGAGTATTAACTCAGTCTAATAAACATTCTGAGAAACTGTTTTCTTATGCATCTGAATACCAATTTCAAAACAATACACAACTTTAAGTATTTTTCCTATGTTACAATTGGTGGATAAGGCTAGAACCATGTACATCTTAGTTTTGGCTCAATTTTAGCTCAATATACTATGCAAAAAGGGTGGAAAAGATTTTGTAAAGCTTCTGGTATTTTTTTTGTAGCTGGGGAAAGAAGATATGGGGGGGGGACTGCTAGATTCCCAAGGGAGGATAACATCTGGTCCAGGTTACAGAATCCAGTCATGCTTCCCAGGTGGTGTAAAGCCAAATGGCAAAGCCTTTCTCTCTCTGACATCCCCTTTCCACCCTATACATGGACAATATTGTTAGAGTTAGATTTCTTCAATGCAAGCAATACCACAATAAACCAGAAATCCTTCATATTACATTTTGGCCTGCTGACTTGTTCATCCAGGAAACAAACTTGCCTCTGAGTAGCTTGGAGATAAAGAATGTGGCCCACCAATGACCATCTTCAGTTGCTAACAAAATCAAGGTGCAACCTAAGTCAAGTTTCTTAAGGTATAGTAGACAGAGAACTTAAACAACAGCCCAGTTTAAATCTTCGTTATGAAACTCATTGGGAAACCATGTGCAAGTAAATATCTCCTTGCCTGTCCTCCTCACAGTCTTGTTACTATAATTAAAAGAGTGAGAAAAATATACTGAAACCTACTTTAAGCCTTGCAATGGGGAAGGAGAAAATTTCATCTAGATAAATAAGCCCTCCTGTCTTCTACTCCTTAAGCAGCATGAAAGTACATGAATCACAATTACAATGCCGACTAAAGACTGAGGAGCACTGCCAATAAAAAGAGCTGACAACCCTAAAACAAGGAGTGACTTTGGACTTAGTTCATGTTGGATCTTCCTCTTTTCCCACTGCCTTCAACTTTTCCTCTCATTATTGTTTTTTCCAGTGACTCTTGTCTTCTCATAATGTGACCAAAGTATGATCGCCTCAGTTTGGTATTTTCAGCTTCTAGGGAGAGTTCAGACTTACTTTGATCTACAACCCACTGTTTTATATTTTAGGTAGTCCACAGTATCCATAAAACTCTCATCCAACCCCACATTTCAAATGAGTCAACTTTCTTCCTGTCAGCTTTTTTCACTGTCCAGCTTTCACACCCATACATAGTAATGGGGAATATTATAGTATGAATTATCTTGTTCTTGGTCTACAACATTTCTTTACACCTAAGGATCTTTTCTAGCACCTTCTGATTTCTTGGCTGTGGTGGTCTCCCTTTTGGTTGATGATTGAGCCAAGACTGAGAAATTTCAATTTCTTCATCATCAAACTTAAAGTTGTGCAATTCTTCATTTGTCATTACTTTTGTCCTCCTGATGTCCCCTTGCACTTCAGGGCCTGATTTGGACTAGAACTGTGAAGTTGGGGGAAGAGTTGCTCCAGACTCCCCCCTCCCCTTTTTCTGAAGCCAAAATGGCTCCCGTATGCATTATTTCCACTTAATACAACATGTGAAACCATGAAATGGGGGGGGGAATACCCCCCAAGAGCCATTTCAGAATGGGAAAATGGTGCATGTAAGGAAGAGGCTGGAGGCCCTCCTCCCCAGCATCAAGGGCCTGATCTTACCTGGGCTCAGAGAAGTTCCCCACAGCTGCTATGCAGTTGCAGGGAAAGAGAGTCGTGTCCTTTACACAAAGATGTTAAAGCACAAGAAGACATTCAGAAAAACAGCAAACTATTTGTAAGGCAGTTTATTGAGGAAGCATTCCTCACTACCTTGATTAGAATTGTCTCAGGTTTCATACCTGCTGCATTAGTTCTTCCTCGGAATATGTCGTCATAAGCTTTCCACTGGGGTGTCACCTGATATGCATGGATGAACACCACAAATACCACTACCAAGCACATTAGTGGTGCCAATACAGCAGAGAAAAGAGCTGCATAAATATTCGGAATAAAGCACCTGAAGGGAAAAAGAGAAAAAAACAGTGTCATTTCTAAAGTTAGGCATGTAGGAACAAATGCCAACATTATCTGGCAGGCCACATATTGGCTTAATTACTTACACAAATAAACTCACTTGAGAGCTTTTATTTACAAGCGACACTTAATTATCTGGTACAGCATACAATAAAAAGGAGAACATTTGATTTTTAGGATGTGGTTCTTCTTTTTCTCATTCCGAATGGACATTAAAAGGGATTAGGTTTACAGACACAGTGACTTTAAAAAATGCTGTTAGGTGTATTATTTATTTAGTGTGGGTACTTGTAGTTATACTGTTTTAAAAACCCATTAAGCAATCGTTCACACTTAGCATCATAGTCACAGTCTTTCTTAGAAACACACACAGGTATCTATAAATAAGCAAGGCTGGCCTACAGTGCAAAGGCAACCATTTCTACTTCAGCCAGTGGAAACAGAATGCCACTTGTAGGCGGGAGCCATTTTTCCTTCCTTCTCCCTTCCCTCCTCCTGCTGTCCTCCCTCACTTCTTGTGGCTTCTGCTTCTTTAATACACTTAGGTCACCATCTTTTACATGGTATTTTTACACTGTGGCAGGAAAACGGGTGGGGCCAGAACTGTGCCTTCGAGCTCAGACAGCAAAAAGTGAAGGAACTAGTTCATTCCTCCAGAAAGCCTCCTGGCTGGCTGAGCAGGGAAATAGGGATGAGAATCACACAAGTCAGGGATGGGATGGGGCCACTGATATGGCATCAAACGACAGAGTAGTAGTGCTATAATCTTATAAGAAAACATGCCACATACCCCCTCTGATAGCGCTGCCAACTTGCACGTTGCACATGGAGATCTCCCACTATTACAATTGATCTCCAGACAATCAAGATCAGTTCCTCTGGAGAAAATGACTGCTTTGGAGGGTGGACTCTGTGGCATTATACCCAGCTGAGGTCCCTCCTCTCTCCAAACCCTGCCCCCCCAGGCTCCCCCCCCCAAATCTCCAGGTATTTCTCAATCCACAGCTGGCAAATCTATCCTCTGATCACATCATCAGACTATTTTGTGCAATCAATTTTTATCCCAGACTGTCAGCAGAGTTACACCCTTCAATGTCCCTTGAAGTCAATGGACTGAAGAAGGTGCCACTCTATTTAAGATGGCATTGTATGCTTGTGAAAAGGGCATCAGTCCTCGCTGACTTCTCTTGCCAAGTCTTTTGTATGTGTTTGCATTTGTATTGGAAACTCTGCCCTTAATACGTTTCACCATCAACACTGCTGCCATTCTGTACTTTAATATCGAACCGATGTACTTGTAACTGCTTTCATTTTAGCCAGCAGGGATTAATACAAATGGAAGAAGCGGGATTATGGCAGAAAGCACGGACAGTGCTGCAGTTTGCCTCCATAATCCTGTTCCCTTCCCCACAGACATTCATTCCTTGTCCTTAGACTGCATGGGCTACAGCCACACAGGGTGTGCATGGAAAGCAGACAGTCCCCACATTAAAGGGGAATACCCACATGATGTTATGTCCATTACAATTTATGGTATTCCCAAAGTCTTCCCCTATAAACTGGATTTAAAATAAATCTGCTTTTAATTTTTTTATTTTTTTTGGCCCCCCGTGGGGGATTTTTTTATTTGCATTTTCTAAAAAACTACAACAAAATTAGGGAGGGAACCTAATATTAGGAGAAAGAAAAGAAAACCCACTAAAACCCCAAGAGTTGGAGGTCATACATTGCTTATAACAGTATTAGCTTAACAATATAAAAGTTGCTTTTCTTGACACTGAGAGTGGTCAATTGTCATCATCCATTATGTTAACAAACCATCAAGTCTGACTGTATAGAGAGTATTACAGGAGAATCACTAATTCACTTAAAAACAAATTTCAGAGAACACTGGCATCTCATTTTACAATTATTTTTCCCTCCTTCATCTAAAGCAAATTAATAATCATATTTCCCACAGTAAATATAACACAATCAATTTCTCTTCCCACACTGTTATCTTAATTCTTCTTAAACATTTTCCCTGTGGCGTTTTCTTGCTGTAACTGGAACTGGTCATCTCAGAACTAAGTCCCTTTTTCTTTTTCAAGGACTGTAATCTGCTTAAATTCGTGCCTTCAATCTTGGGGATCATTCCATTTTTTGCTTTTTAAAAGCCAAACTTATATAGAGTCTATCCGTCCTTTTGCCCATTACACTTTTTCGAGTATGTCCATGGCATACCCATCGCTTACAGCTTTGCTTAGTCGTCTATATGCAGGCCACACCACTTAGTCTTACTATTAGACTCTCCTCTTTAATATTGGAAGTCCCTGTGATCAAAGGCTAGTTGCTTCTCCAATGTGAACACAGTCCTTTGAAAATAGCAGCCAAAGTATAACACAGTTCTTGTGAAATAACTCGTTGTTGCCAGCAGAGGGCAAAGACTTAGCTTGCAGCCTGAAAGAGTCTATGGTTGTTTTGGTCACATGGGCGAGTTGCTCTTCAACTTCCTGAAGGAAGCTTGTTTCTCGCTCGCTGCTTTTGCTGCCTTGCCAATCGCCATTTTTAAGCATGTTTACTTTTTCCAAAATTTGCAAAAGTACTGAAAGTTTGCCCAAATGCTTGTTTAACTCCTGGGGTCTCTCTACTACAGTCTATTGCTGTTTAAAACTCTGTCCCCACTGCAGTGGCTTTTCTTTTTTCACTTATTTCCGGGGGAGAGTCCCCCTCCCCCTTGCTTTAGTAAACGATGACGTCTGATCACTCGGATCTCGCCAGGTAAGGATTTTAACGCTGTACCTCCAAGCGCTTGTCCTGGTGTGCGTAGCTTAGTCCCATTCGGGAATGCAGCGCAGAGACCTTCAGGGCAAAGGGAAGCCTCGATCTTCCGGCACCGTGCCTGCAGAGAGGCGACCCTTAGCACCCCATGGCAAGGGACTCATTGCACGAGTTCCAGGAGGGTGCGTATATTCGCACCCCCTCTCAATACGCTGGTCCACGGATCATCCCCCAGGAGCGCCCTGGGGAAACAGTCATCATCAGCCCACCAAAACCGGAAGACAAAATAAACCTGCTTTAATCTGGTTAAAAAGGGAATCCACATGGACCCTTCCATCATTGCCACTGTGAGGGAGGAGGGTGGATATAAGCTCTGCTTTCAAAATGTAGTGGTGCTGCTCATTGCCACGTGCCCCCCCCCCTCTCCCCCAGCCCTTTAAAAGGTTTTTTTCCCTTTTCGTGCCAAGCCATGCTGTACCAATATAGCCCTGCTTGGTATGTAAAGCGAGGGCAAGGAAGGCATTTTAGAGCCTTGGTGGTGGTGGGGACTTTGTGCAAGCATTATCCCACTGCTGCATAGGTGTACTGGGGTGGGGGAGGACTGGAGGGCAACAGCAACAAGTGGTGCAGTAATATGGTGCGTGGATGCCGCCTGTGGCTTATCAGGGGTGTGTTTTTGCATGCCTGTGTCGATTCAGCCTTGAAAAGAGCTTTTGTCAATGACGCGTGTAAGACTGGCTTCCTAATATGCAGAACAACAGTGAAAACTATATAATCTTTACCTGGAAAACTAGCACTCTGTAAGTGTAAACATTTTAAAAAATATTTTCAAAAATTCCTATCAAGAGGACATTCCCAACATTAACAATATCTTCATCGAAACACATAATTATCTGCTTTTAGAATCTTCGTGAAAGCACAGAATAAACACACACACACACTCATCCTCACTGTTTCTAATGAATATGAATGGAACCTGATTCCTTTTTCTGTGGCACAGTTCTATGTAGACTTTCCTCCTTTGTGCTTTCATTTCTGAATTGAGCTATTTCACAGAGAGCTTTATAGCATAAAATGAGGAAGCTTTCTTTACCATCACCACAAAAGGAAATTTGCATGCTTTTCTCAGGGTGTGGCACACAACTGACCATTTTTTAAAAGGCAGTAAGAATTGGCTGAGAAAGTAACGGCAAAACTGAAACTCTTTATTTCCACTCTCAAATATGCATGTGTAATATATATCAGTGAACTTATTCTGATTACTAAACTAAGGGCACAATTCATCCTTGTGCAGATGCAGTCATTCATGCGCAGATGGATTTGTACATGGTTCAAGAGAACCCTGTTCCTCCCCCATTGCTGGCACATGTGCATGAATACATGTGCACTGGTCTATTCTCTGGGCATGGGATATGTGCACGGCCCTCCCTTGTCCTGTAATGCATATCTACTGGGTATTTGTGTATTTAGAAGAGCTCTAAGGGAAGCTAATATTGATCCCTTCATGTGCAGCTAGGGATGGCTCCATGTCCTAAACACATATTTACTGTTTTCTATCTGAAAATGAAAAGCAAAGAATGTCAAAAACTGCATTATAGCCATGGTTTAGTTGTATATACTCACTTTAAAAAAAGCAAGTCTCACTATCAAGTTTGACAGAACATAAAATAGCTATTAAAAGTGAGAAAAATGCTCACCACATCCTAAATGATGTGTCCTCTATTTTTCCTGCATGCTATCCTTTACATTAGATTCCACCCCACTGATCCCTGTCCTACAAATGAGTAGAACTGTTCACAAGCAGGGGTAATTTCCTGCAGGAGCGCACAGGAGCGGAGCCCGGGCAGTAAAGAGCCCAGGGGGCAGGCACATGCAACAAGCCCCGCCCCCTGCTCCCAGTAGCCCCCAGCCACAAGAGCAAGAAGCAGCCAGGTAAGTTGCAGAGCCTTCCCCCCATAGCAATCCAAAACAGTCCAGTGGCACCTTTAAGGCCAAGGTTTATTCAGGTACAAGCTCTCCCTCCTCTGTGAGGGCAGATCTGCCCGCTTCCCCCCCCCCCATAGCTAGCAATCCAAAATAGTCCAGTGGAGCTTGAGCGGTGGGTGTTGCCTTCTGACACACTTCTGGTGATGTCAGTGGATGTGGCATATGCAAATAAGTTATGCTAATGAACCCCTGCACCTCTTTTTCTACGAAATGACCCCTATCACCCCATAGCTATTA